TCATGAGGGAGGGAGGAGAAAAAATGAGGAGCTGATGCCAGGGGCTTAAGTGGAGAGCAAATTTTTTGAGAATGATGAGGGTAATGAATGTACAAATGTGCTTTACACAATTGATGTATGTATGGATTGTGATAAGAGTTGTATGAGCCCCTAAAAAAACAATTAAAAAAAGATAGACCTGAGTCTGGGGAAGGAAGCACCAATGTGTTTCATCAGTGCTATACTGTACCCTGACCTGCTCATCTCTTCCCTGTGACCCCTCTGTGAGGGGATGTCCAGTTGTCTACAGATGGGCATGGGTCTCTACTCCATGCCTCCCCACTCCCATTCACATTGGGTACAATTTCGTTCTGGGTGTATCAAGCACATCTGTACGTTTGTTGCCATCATCAGTTTCAAAACATTTTCTTTCTTCTTGAGCCCTTGGTATCAGCTCCTCATTTTTTCCCCTCCCTCCCCCATTCTCCCTCCGTTACAGACACTTGATAATTTATAAACTGTTATTATTTTTCATGTCTTTTAAAAAAATAATAATATTGGGGCTTTTACAGCTCTTGTTTAAATCATTTTATTGGGGGCTCATACAACTCTTATCACAATACAGACATACATACATTGTGTCAAACACATTTGTACATCTGTTGCCATAATCATTTTCAATACATTTTCTACTTGAGCCCTTGGTATCAGCTCCTTATTTCTTCCCCTTCCCTCGCCTGCCTTTCCTCCCTTCTCTCCATTCCTCAAAAATCCTTGATAATTTATAAATTAATATTTTTTCATGTCTTACACGGTTCAATGTCTCCCTTTACCTACTTTTCTATTGTCTGTCCCCCTGGGATGGGGGTGGGGGTTATATGTAAATCATTGTCATCAGTTCCCCTTTTTTCCCCAACCTTCCCCTTCCCATCCTGGTATCACTACTCTCATTATTGGTCCTGAGGGGTTCATCTGTCTTGGAGTCCCTGTGTTTCCAGCTCTTATATGTACCCTTGTACATTCTCTGATCTAGCCGGATTTATAAGGTAGAATTGAGATCATGATAGTGGGGCAGGGGGTAGGGGAAGCATTAAAGAACTAGAGGAAAGTGGTATGTTTCATCAGTGCTATGCTGCACCCTGACTGGCTTGTCTCTTCCTTGTGACCCTTCTGTAAGGGAATGTCCAATTGTCTACAGATGGGCTTTGGGTCTCCACTCTGTACTCCCCCCTCATTCACATTGATAATGATTTTTTGTTCTGAGTCTTTGATGCCTTATACCTCATCCCTTCGACACTTCATGAACACAGGGGCTGGTGTACTTCTTCCATGTGGACTTGTTGCTTCTCAGGTAGATTGTAGCTGTTATTTTCTGTTGAAATAAAACAAATAAAGGTTGAGTATAGGAAGGGAAAACAAAGGGAAAAGACCAATATTAACTCTCTAAAAATACCTAGCAAAGCGACTTTGTCTTTCTTTCATAGGAATTGATATCGCATGAATAATTTATAAAGCCACTTAATAGACAGTATTTGTTATTAAAGATGATAAATAATCAAAGCCGAAGGGAATGGTGTCAGAGCTTATATTTGAACACCTGATATGCAGAAGGCAATGGAAGACCGGAAGCCTGAAATTGATTTGCAAGGTCCCTACATGGATTAAGCCTCTAATGAATTCCCTCTGATCATAGTTGAGGGTTGTGAATAACCCTGCTATCAGACTGAGAATATCGTAAAGCAAATCATGGCAGATGCAATGAATGTTGATGTGATACCTGATCATTTGATCTCCCTTTTGACCCATTTTAAATTTAATACTCCCTGCTTTTTGCTCAATTGGGGTTTTTTTTCTCTGGTTTATTTTGTTGGTGGTCTTATTTGTGTATGGTTTCCAGTATATGACGTTAAGAATGGTGAAGCTGTAGAGACAGTAACTGGATTGATCGAGTTAATAACTAATCACGAATACAAGAGGGAAGAAAATGTTCTGGAACTGATTATAGTGGTGGTTGTACAACTTTTTTTTAAATCGTTTTATTGGGGATTCATACAACTCTTATCACAATCCACACATCCATCACATTGTGTCAAGCACATTTGTACATTTGTTGCCATCATCATTCTCAAAACATTTGCTTTCAACTTGAGCCCTTGGTATCAGTTCCTCAAATTGTACAACTTTTTAATACGACTGAACTATGGAAGTTTATGATTTGTGAAACATATGTCAGGAAAACTTTAAAAAGTATTTGTGACATAAAATTAATTTACTGAACAGTGAAAATAATTATATAGTTTAGTTACCATGCCCCACATTTTGGAGTTGTTATTTTCTGACAGCCTTGCAATATTATTTTTACTTTAAAGTATTACTACTGGCTTACAAGTATAAATACTGCAACTAACAAAAAACTCAAAGAAATACTTCACAATTTTTTCCAGAAAAGATTGTTAATTACCTCAATTTAAAATACCATACCTTTAGTGCATTTGACTCTATTAGTTTTGCAGTTCGGTTACTATATGTACCCAGGGTAATTGTGAAGGAAATAGATGTTTTGAACTCCCTAGGTGTTGGTAATAAAGAATTTCTGGTATCGTCTTTACTTGAGAATGTTTCCTTCCCCACCTCTCTTCTGATTCTAGACGATGGTTTGGGTAGTGTTGATGGTCCCTCTGTGTCTTCCCAACTATTGATGCCTCAGTTTTCTGTCAGTCTCCAAATTTTCTAGTGTACTTACATTGCTCATTTGTTGTCTTATATCGTTTACAAACTTGATGTAAGTAAGCTTGTCATCGACATTTGTTTATATCAGCCAAATTTATTATGGTTTTTACTTCTTCCTGGGTCGTCTTTTCACTCTTCTAGAATTTTATAAAGGTCAGGGTGTAAAATAGAGCCATCGTCATTTAAATTGTTTTAAAAGTTCTGCATTTGAAGTAGATTTTTGCTTCTTTAAGCTAACCAAAATTCAGTTGGCAGTGTGGGGAGTCCAGTGCTTAGTGATCATCTTGGGGGCCTGTGTCTTCCTGCATGCTGCGATGGACTGACACTGTGGTGCCACAGTGGGCTTGAGCCTAGGAACATTTGGGAGGACTGGGCAGTGTTTCTTTCTGCCCCGTGTAGGGTCACTGTGGGTTGGAACTGACTCGGTGGCACCTACCAAGCTGCTCTTACAAACAGGTAGTAAGCCAGCTGTACACTTCATGTCATCTAGCTCCTCTTCATCAGTGGAAACTTCTTTGAGAATTCTCTGAAAGCGTCAATTTCTGACCCAGAAAACCAGCATCGCTTCCTGGGCTGTTGGCCATTCTAGTTCCAGCTTTGAAAACAAGGAAGTGCAGCCAGTTCTCTTCATTGATTCTGCGATCCTCTCCAAGAATAACCTGTTGGTTGGGATTTTGGTTGAATTTGTAAAATTTATAAATTAAATCAAGTCTTTCCTTTCAGTTTGCATATCTTTATTAATTCCAGTTTGTGATCCTCTTGTCTCCCATGGTTTTCTGCTTCTAATCTGTCATAGGCCTGGTAATCAACAGTTCATTGGGATTTTGTACATACCAAGTAAATAAATAGGCAGGGAGAAGCTTATACTTACATTTGTTCTTGTTACTCTTCAGTTTTCTTTCTGATTCTGGACTCTTTCCTACTGGGCAAGGTTACCAAGTATAAGGTATTAATGAACTTGAATTTAGTCAACACATTTAGTTTGCTACTATTTATACATAAATTGTGCACTTTAGAGCCTATGACTTCACTTAATAAAATACGGAATAACTAGAATAAAGAAATTGAAGATTGGATAGGATTGTTATAAGAATGGGTTTGTTTATGGAAGGAATGAGTAATAAATTTGTAACCTTTTTACATATTAACCCTTTTTAGATCTGTAAATAATAAAATTATTGTATGCTTTAATGTTTTGGGTTTTTTTTCTCACAGGCTAAGGAAATTTTAACAAAGGAATCAAATGTGCAAGAGGTCCGTTGCCCTGTGACCGTTTGTGGAGATGTTCATGGTCAGTTCCATGACCTTATGGAACTCTTCAGAATTGGTGGGAAATCACCAGATACAAACTATCTATTCATGGGCGACTACGTAGACAGAGGTTATTATTCTGTGGAGACTGTGACTCTTCTTGTGGCATTAAAGGTATGTGATTAATATGTATTGGGTTTTTTCCTTTAATACAGTATATAAGTGGTGTGCATCTTTTGACTATGTGTTTGTGTGGGCACGCATGTGAATGGAGCACGCAGAGGGTACTCTTTTTTTTAAATCGTTTTATTAGGGGCTCATACAACTCTTATCACAATCCATACATACATCAATTGTGTAAAGCACATTTGTACATTCATTGCCCTCATCATTCTCAGGACATTTGCTCTCCACTTAAGCCCCTGGCATCAGCTCTTCATTTTTTCCCCTCCCTCCCTCATGAGCCCTTGATAATTTATAAATTATTATTTTGTCATATCTTGCCCTGTCTGACATCTCCCTTCACCCACTTTTCTGTTGTCCATCCCCCAGGGAGGAGGTACATGTAGATTCTTGTAATCGGTTCCCCCTTTCCAACCCACCCTCCCTCTATGCTCTCAGTATCGCCACTCACACCACTGGTCCTGAAGGGATCATCCGCCCCGGATTCCCTGTGTTTTCAGTTCCTAGCTGTACCAGTGTTCATCCTCTGGTCTATCCATATTTGTAAAGTAGAATTGGGATCATGATAGTGGGGGCTGGAGGGAAGCATTTAGAAACTAGAGGAAAGTTGTATTTTTCATCGTTGTTGCATCGCACCCTGACTGGCTCGGCTCCTCCCTGGGACCCCTTTGCAAGGGGATCTCCAATGGCCTACAAATGGGCTTTGGGTCTCCACTCCGCACTCCCCCCCTCATTCACTATGGTAAGGTTTTTTGTTCTGCTGATGCCTGATACTAGATCCCTTCGACACGCCGTGATCGCACAGGCTGGTGTACTTCTTTCATGTGTGCTTTGTTGCTTCTGAGCTAGATGGCCGCTTGTTTACCTTCAAGCCTTTAAGACCCCAGATACTACCTTTTAATAGGCGGCCACCATCAGCTTTCTTCGCCACATTTGCTTATGCACCCATTTGTCTTCAGCAATCGTATCATGGAGGTGAGCACACAATGATAAGATTTTTTGTTCTTTGATGCCTGATAACTGATCCCTTCGGCACCTCGTGATCACAGAGGTTGCCGTGTTCTTCCATGTGGGCATTGTTGCTTCTGAGCTAGATGGCCGCTTGTTTACCTTCAAGCTTTTAAGACCCCAGACGCTATATCTTTTGGTAGCCGGGCACCATCAGCTTTCTTCACCACATTTGCTTATTGCAGAGGGCACTCTTACATATGGTGGACAACCTTATGAATTTGGGGAATTGAAAGACTTGGACTAACGTTTCATGGAACATCTTGATCAATTAACATATTGCAGTTTATAAAGTTGGGTTCTACATCCTAGTTTGGTGAGTACTGTCTAGGATCTTTAAAATCTTCCAAGAGGCCATCCAAGATACAACTGGGTTTCATCACTTTTTTTTTAACAGTTTTATTGGTACATAGTAAACATACCATACAGTTTAGTTGTGTTTTTTTTAATCATTTTATTGGGGGGCTCTTACAAATCATAAACAATCCGTCATTCAATTGCATTAAGCACACTTGTACATATGTTGCCATCAACATGTCCAAAACATTTTCTTTCTACTTGAGCCCTTGGTATCAGCTCCTCCCCCACCCTTCCACCCTGGTGAATCCTTAATCAATTATGTATTATTGTTATTTCGTATCTTACACTGTCCGTTGTCTCCCTTCACCCACATTTCTGTTATTCATCCCCTTCTGGGAAAACCTTTTAATTTTTTCTAAAAATAATATCATCCTTAATTACTTTGCTCCTTTAAAAAGTCACCTATATGAGACCCATAGTCAACAATTACCTTAAAACAAAGATGAGCATGAATGAGGCAGGCAAATTAGATGATCGAAAACAATACCAGAATGGACAGTGAACATGTTCGTGCATTGTTACTCAACAATTTGTATAGATGCTGCTGAATGGGAACCTCAACTGCTTCATAAACTATCACCAAATATACAATCAACATTACTTTTAGAAATGAAAATAAAATCTTGTTTTAGGTACAGGAGTAACCAAGCAGTAAGAGCACAATTACATTGCACTTTATGACTTACTTTTATTTTATTCTACTTTACGATCTGCTCCATTTTAGCCTATAAAATAATATAGCGAGTAAATTCCAATCCACAATGACCCTGGAAGACAGGCCATAACTACCTCAGGGTTTCCAAGGCTGAGAACCCTAACTGAAACAAGACTGTGATGTCTTTCACCAGTGGAGCAGCTAGTGAATGTGAACTGTTGACCTTTGGTTAGCAACTGAGGTTAATCACTGTGAAACCAGGGCTGCTCTGAATATAATCACGGCCTTTACAATGTTTATAAAGAGGGGCGAAAATGATGCATTAAATGTCCTGTCTACTTTTTTTATGGTTTGCCTACTTCTAGTTAGTGGATCATTCTCTTGAATAATCCATAATCAAAATTCTAGAACAGTACTTTAGTCATTTATCCCTTATATACAATTTTTTTTATTCTTGTATTTTTCTCTTTGTACTGTCTCCACATACACCACATCCTCATCACTTAACACTTCAGTTATTGCAGTAACTTGGTAACTTAGTTTGTCCTCCAAAGTCAGACCCATCTGAATCTCCCATGCATGTGCCTTGCATGTGCTGCCAAATCAAATCTCATATTTAACAATTCCATCATGTACCTCCTTGCTCCCAAACTTTGGAGGGATTCTATGTTGCCTTTAGATTTTATAGACTAAAACTCCTTGGCTGACCTCTGTGGTCTTTCCTGAATTTGGCTGCCTGTGGTAGATAGCAAGAAATTCCCAAGTGATACAAGCACTTAATTAAACACACTACGTCAGCAGTTCAAACCCACCCATAAGTGCCTGACAAGCCAGCCAGATAATCACAGCTGCGAAAACTCTGGGACAGCTCGTTTCATTCTGCCTGTGTGGGAGCACCATGAGTCAGGATAGACTTGACGGCAACTGGGTGCACCAGTTCCCTACCTTAAAGAGTTCTCTTACTGATGATTGCTCAGTCTCTCCATATGACTCAGCCTGCTTCCTTAAGATTGTGCTCCCTGATTCCTTCTTTCTTCCGCCAAGATTCAAGTCCTGCTTTTCTTCCGGAAGCCTTCAGCTATAAGCTTTTCTTCTCCATCCTCTAAATGATCATGGAACTTTTTCTCTCGTCCCTCATTTCTGTTACACAGTAATTTATTGCCGTGTATTTATTTTGGTTTTCTTCCTAGTAAAATTAGATTAGTCCTTGAACATTAGAAGCCATGTATTATACTCATGGACCTGGCACATAGTTTTATACCACCTGGTTTAATAATGGACATTAATGAGTTTGGCAAAGAAATATGAAGTATAGAAGTATGCATGTGCAACAATTTCTTTAATTTACAAAATAAGTTCGTTATTTCTTATCAGACACATCCCTAAATATAAACCATTTCTATGTTTTGTTATGGTCAAGGGGTATGTTCAGAATCTTGCCCAGGTTTGCCAAGGACCTGATTTGTACCTTGTTGGCAGCTACACTCTTCTTTGAGAAATAAAAGTTGACAGCAGAGGGAGAAGTGAGACTGTGAAGGACTTTGTCTCAAGTTCATGTTTCCAGTTTTCTGAATCCAGTCACTGGGAAATAGAGCAGTGATAGTATGAAGTTACAGAGAAAAGTTATTAGAATGATGTAGGTATCGGTAAAGATTCCAGTGAAGGTGGAATATAGTGTTGAAGGATGACTATAAAAAATATTTTCAAGGTTAATCGTTAGGGTGTGCTTGCCTGAAAGCATAAGTGAGAAAGTTTTTTGCTCTGGAAAAAGTTAACATTTAATTTGTTAGCAGACAAAAGAGCCATTTAAAACAAATAAGACAGAAATTAATATATGTAATATAGCACGTAAAAATGATTGCATCATGATTTTTTTTATGTTTTCCTACAGGTGCGTTATCCAGAACGCATTACAATATTAAGAGGAAACCACGAAAGCCGACAAATTACTCAAGTATATGGCTTTTATGATGAATGTCTACGAAAATATGGAAATGCTAATGTTTGGAAATATTTTACAGATCTATTTGATTATCTTCCACTGACAGCTTTAGTAGATGGACAGGTACGTGTGTGAGCTTATATCTGAAATCTCAGGAAAAGCACAAAAGATATTGCTGCTGGTATAGATTTACCTGTGTTTTTGCGTATCCTTGGCATTTTTGCTTCTTTTTCTTTTACTAAAATTTCGGGACAGGAAGATGGATAAATTTTAGTTACATTCAAACCATTATATTCCTTGTTGTTTCAAAATATGTGTGTAATATTTTCACTAACAGATACACTAATATAGTTTTGTATGTTAGATAAATATTGTAAATAAATACATAAGGCTTTGATATATATAATACAAATAAACATAACCTAGTTTTTACAAAGATCTCCATATATACTGCTTAATGTCTGCTGATTGCCATTAACAACTTTATTTTTGTGATAATTGACCTGTTTCCACTTGTAATACATAGTGCAGATATACTATAAAATTTTCAAAAGTATAAAAAGGAAATTGTGCTGTTTCCTGTAATCCAAATTTCTAGTGTTAATAATTATTAACAGACTTATTTAAATATAAAATGTAAGCTATCATTTTGCAACTCAAAAAACTTATTTACTCTTTTTAATTAGAAAGTCCCAGAGTTGTTGATGATTGTGCAGATGGGAAGATAATTTGATAATGATCTTTTCTGTGTAATCCTTATGGTCCACCATCTTTGTGAACACTCCAATGACTTATTTAAAAGACATTATTTTGCATAGACTTGACCAAAATGAGAAAAGCAGTGTGGTGATGTATCTTAAAGGGTATTATATTTGAATAAAGGTTTCTTTCATATTTGTTTAAACATACAATAGTCATTCATTATCATAAAATAAAATTGTTTCAAAAGATTAGCTATCAGTATTAGTGATGAATCTAGCTTTTCAAATGGGTACCTCCAAGACTTATCTTCATTGATCCATTGATCTTTCCTATCTGTAGTTCTTTTATTCTATATGGTTCTTTTAAGGAACAAAACAGCTGGTGCACACAGACCTTTGGTGTCGAATCATTGAATACTGAGTATTAGGAAACTTTATACACCTTAGGCATCAAGTAGGTAAAATTAAAGTATATAGGGGATGTGAACAGTGCAACAAAGCACCAACAGATAAAAACAGTAATAACAAACCAGATACTATGTCCAGTTACCATCTATCTTTTCATGTATCCTTCCTTTTTTCCCCCTGTCTTGCTTTATATTTGTCCTGAATTAGGTGACCAATAAAATTTCCCATTCTAATGTTGCTAAGTGCCGCCAAGTCCATTCCGACTCCTTGCAACCTAACATCCAACAAAATAAATCACTGCCCAGTTCCATACCATCCTCAAAAAAAATTATTGTTTAAATCATTTTATTAGGGGCACTTACAACTCTTACCACAATCCATCCATCCATCCATTGTGTCAAGCACATATGTACATCTATTGCCATCATTTTCAACACATTTTCTTACTACTTAAGCCCTTGGTATCAGCTCCTCATTTTTCCCCTCCCTCCCCCTCTCTTCCCCCCTCATGAACCCTGGATAATTTATAAATTATTATTGTTTTTCCATGTCTTGCACTGTCCGACCATCCTCAAAATTGTTCATATGTTTGAGCTCATTGCTGCAACCTTTATGTCTTTCCATCTTCCCAGGATCTTCCTCTTTTATGCTGCTCTTCTCCTTTACCAAACATGATATCCTTTTCCAGGCATTAGTCTCCCCCTGATAGTATGTCCCAAGTATGGAGATGAAATCTTGTCATTCTTGCTTCTAAGGAGCATTCTGGCTGTACTTCTAAGACAGATTTGTTTGTCCTTTTGGCAGCCCATAATACTGTCAATATTCTTCACCAGCACCAAAATTCAAAGGCATAAATTCTTTAATCCTCCTTATTCGATGTCCAATGATTCGAGTAAGAGCACCCTGACTTGGGTCTGGCACACCTTCATCCTCAAAGTAACATCCTTGCACTTAAACACTTTAAGGAAGTCTTATGCGGCAGATTTACCCAGTATACTGTGATGCTTGGTTTCTTGACTGCTTCCATGAACGTTTATTGTGGGTCTGAGCAAGATAAAAACTTTGATAACATCTATCTTTCCTCCATTTATCATGATGTTGCCTGTTGATTTTGTGGGGATTTTGTTTCCTTTATATTGAGTTGTAATTATATTGAAGGCTGCAGTCCTTGCTTGTCATCAGCTTCAAGACTTTCCTCACTTTCAGCAAACAAAGTTGTGTCATCTGCATGTCACAGGTTGTTCATTCGCCTTCCAGTCTTTATGCTATGCCCTTCATATAGCTCGGCATCCTGGATCATTTGCTCAGTAGTTCAAAACCACCAGCCACTCTGTAGGAGAAAGACGGGACTTTCTGTTACTGTACAGAGTTAGTCTCAGCTTTTACCCTGCTCTATAGGGTGTACATATCGATGAATTATCAGAAACATCAAGACCAGGAGAAAATTGCCCTCTAACACTTGATTTCTTCTATTTTATTTGAAAAGAAAAAAGGCAAATAGATACTTTGTAAATTACATGAATGTGTCAAAATCTAAAAAAATTGGAAAATGTTTAGAACCAATAACAGGAATTGGTGGTGTGTTTTCAATACCCACAGAACATGTAAGTGCAGATAAAAAGAATGGATAGCTCATTTTCCATAGGAAGTATTAGTTATAAAATACCTCATGACATAAAAAAAGAGCAAATACATGTGAAACGTTCTGTCTGGTGTGACTTTTTGTTATCTTTGTATTTAAAAAAATTTTCTTACTACATATTTTTAACTATTTTTAGAAGATTAGGACTGATATACATATTAACCTTTAGCAATTAAACAATTTTTTTCTTTCTTAATTGATGAACAGATATTCTGCCTCCATGGTGGCCTCTCTCCATCCATTGATACACTGGATCATATAAGAGCCCTGGATCGATTACAAGAAGTTCCACATGAGGTACAAATAGGAGGAGGAGGAGGAAGGGGAGTCAAGCTGTAGTAGAGCTAAATTAGTTGCATATGATGCTAATAGTTGGTAACAATTTCTTCATTTTTTTGCAGGGTCCAATGTGTGATCTATTATGGTCAGATCCAGATGATCGCGGTGGGTGGGGTATTTCTCCACGTGGTGCTGGCTACACATTTGGACAAGACATTTCTGAAACATTTAACCATGCCAATGGTCTCACACTGGTTTCTCGTGCTCACCAGCTTGTGATGGAGGTATGTGCTCTCACTGCAAAATAATTTTGTTTTGAAATACATGTGTATTGCCTGTAATAACGCTTACAGACAGAATATAAAGAACAGTTCTACCTATTGCTTAGGAACAACTTGCTCTTTATAGCAAATAGAGAAGTACTAAAATTATGTTTAGAATATTTTATTCTTACATTATCTTTGTGTTTTTCCTTTCTGTTTTTGTCTTCCAAATCATTTGCATATAAGTTGGACACATAATACTGCTTCACTCTAAGCCATCAGTTTTCAGAAGACGTTCTGTTTAAAGCCCACAGTGTAGTTACCATAATCAGGAAATTATCATTGAGGAACTATTACTATCTAATCTAAACACTTTACTCACTAATGTTCTTTATAGAAAAATCTACTTGTGTATGTGTGTGTTGCAACCCAAGATTATGTTGTATTTATTGTCTCTTCAGTCTCCGTTGATAACAGAAAAAGCCCTCAGAATTTTTATTTCTGGCATGGTCTTGACTTGGTTGGTTTCAAATATATTTCATATCTTTAATAATGCCATATTATAATGGGTACACAGTGCTTTGATTTGGCATCAATTGTAAGTTGGTTTGGGGACATTTCAGTTTGCTCTACCAGCTGGTTTGACTACTGATCTCATGCCCTTGGGTTCATTGCTGCCAACAGGGTCCCAGTTCCAGTGTTATCCTGTGTCCTTAGAGCGACACAGAAAGCAGCTCGACTAGCTGCATTTGTCTTGGAAATCAGGTGCATATTTTGGAGGCTCTGCCTTGCCTCTGTTTGGTGAATGCTTTGAATGTGGAGACAACTTAGAACATTTTGGGCTATGGGAAACATGATGGAGTACTTAAAGCTGTGGCCAATACAGGTTCTGACTAGCATATATCTGCGTCCACAACCTTTACAAAGAGCCCTGAAAAACCTCTTGCCATTTTTGAGAGATGTAAGTGATGTATTTGGCTGCTTTTCCCTTATGACTAGAGTTTGGTCTGCCTTTATAGCAAACACACCATACAGTTAATGCTGTTCCTGCCTCAGTGTAACTCCTTTTAGGGTGACATGAAATCTATATGTACTGTGCCTTCACTATTGGCGTTGACTTTGATTACGTAAAGTGATGTCTGTCATATTTCCCTTCTATGATGTTACTGTTTTATAGCTGTTAAAGGCATAAATTCTCCCAAGTCATCAGAGAGCGACTATAAATTAGTAAAGAAACCCCTTCTACAGAGTAGAGGTGAGGAGAGGGATGAAAGCACGGTAAATACAGAACGCAAATTCATACGGTGAAAGTGAGTCCAGTGATGGCTGTGTCCGTCAGAAATGTAAATGCAACAAACTGTTTGACTGCAGTAGACTCTCATATTGGATAATCAAAATTCTGTTGTTATTATTAGGGACATTCCTAAAACAAAGCACCACAGGATTTTGGTTGGTCAAGCAGATAATTACCCAAAGTAGAGCTAAGGGTAGAAGTCAGAATTGGCTTTAAGGCGATAGAAGTGCCATTAGAAGCAAAAGGTAGGAGTTACTGGTGAAAATTGGCCCAGATCTTTAGAAAGAATTAAAAAAAGAAATCCGTGTGTATTTAATACCTTTAAACTATGTAAAGCTAAAATAGACATAATTTACAAAGGACAATGAGAAGGCTACTTTCATCATGGGCGAGATGTCAGTCGTTAGCTCCAGCATACACTGAGCAGTCAAAGGAGTTGGCAGAGGAGGGGCTAATGGACAACAGGTCTGTTTGTTGAGTTCCTTGTAACAGAACCCTGTACCTAACTGGTAGGCCATTTTGTTCATAGAATGACTACATGTCCACCGAGAATATTTATAATATTTCAATTTAGTTTTAAACTCTTCTGTGTCGTGGTCATACTTTTGAAATGAATTCTTGGTTTTATTTCATGCTGCAGGGATATAATTGGTGTCATGATCGGAATGTGGTTACCATTTTCAGTGCACCCAATTATTGTTATCGCTGTGGGAACCAGGCTGCTATCATGGAATTAGATGACACTTTAAAATATTCCTTGTAAGTAATTTAAATTTAATTATATCAAATTTTGGAGGAAAAATTGAAATGTGGGTATTGAAAATAGAAGTAATGGATTCTTGCTTCTGGAAAGGTATAGTGCCAAGCAGTAGCAAGATTGTAACAATTGGAGCATGACTGATACTCTCTCCTCCCAGGTCTCTTACAGGAACTCTTGCAGGCAAATGTGAACAAGCATATGGGGGCTCCCTTAGCACCAATTGAGGGCTTTTGTCTCATTCCAGGAGGAGGAGGAGGCCACCGTCATTTCTAGTCTACCCTATGCTTGCTTAGGCTCCAGAAGCCTGTTCCTGGCTGGCACAGTCAAGAGGCCTGTAGCTCCATTTTGTGACCTAGCTACTGGGGCAGAAGTTCTACATCTGGGTGTGGCAGGTCAAGAACACTGACTCTGAGTCCTTGCCCATAGCACAGGGATGGCACTGAGGAAGGAGTGGACCCTCATGCTCATGCCCAAGCCTGGAGTAGAGGTGCAGAAGTTCTGCTCACTGGGGCAAGACAAGCCTAAGTGTCATTTAAGTCTGCTAGAGAGATTTGCCCTTATTCAGAACAGATAAGAGAATTCCAAGTTAGGGACATTGTCAAAAATACAGATGGTATGATAGCAATAAAGAAGGCTGTTATAGTACTATTAGCAACAAGCAAAACAATGGAGCATCCAGAAGCTTAACAGCTAGAAACTGGGAAAGAGACAGGCAAAGAGAGTCCCCATGAGATGACTTGTCGACACTAGGGGACAAGGCTATAAACATGCTCAGTCACAGCAAAGAAATGAAGCAGATTTGAAAATATTCCCCCAAGCCACTCTTGGAATGAATCAACAAAGCCCCTCACCATTCCAAGGGACATAAGCGCAACCTCGGATCAAACAGTGGTTGGACTGGCAGTCTCAAAGATAGTGTGCATGCTCAAGATTGTCTCAGGAATTATTGGAGATGGCCAATTCTAGCTACTAGTCCCTTGGCTATTAGTAAACCCCTTGAAGTGGGGTAACAGCCTCCAAGCCACACATACACCAACAGTAAGGATAAACATAACCAATGGTAACCTCTACGTAGCCAGGCTAAAAGATTAGAACAAGTGGGAAATTGTATTTTTATTTTAACAAAGCCAGAGGGACACACAAAAGTAGAGTACACCGAGTTCGTTTTCCAAGTCACTAAATAAATACGATCAAACAAACAGCACTTCCTAGAGAGAGAAGTATCCAGACATACTATAATATGTATATAATCCATTGTTTAACCAAAACAAAAAATAGCAAGACGTAAATAAACAGTCACATTCGACTCATGTACACAAGAGAAAGGACCTACTTTGAAGGAAGGAGCAAATGTTGAACTCAGCAGACAGACTTCGAAGCCGTCAATATAAATGTGGTCAAAGAACTAAAGAATACCAGGTCTAAACAATAAAGGAAAGTGATGCTAATGAATAAATCATCAAATAGAGAATATCAATAAAGAGAGAAACAGTATTTTGAAATTGGAAATCCTGGAGTACACTTCAGTACAATAACTGAAGTTTTACTAGGGGAGCTCAGCATTAGAGTTAACCTGGTGAAAGTAAATGACACCAGACAGACCTGAAATCTGCTTCCAGAAAAAGAAATCAAAGAAAATCGTGTGTGTGTAACATACATTTTCATAATAACCTTGTGGAGGTGTTTGTGAGTCAAACGTAACTTACATTTTCATAATAATTCTATATATATGTATATGTATATATATACATGATAAAATTCTAGCAGAAATTACACCAGATGATGACTTGAAGCCCAATGAAGAAATTTAAAATGATAAATAAAAAAATTAAAACATCTATAACCATACATTTGCTTTTCTGAACTTTAGAGATTAAGTAACAAGGATGTGTTTAGCAGTATAGTTTGGGGTTACTAACACGGAGGCATATTGTTTGTTAGAGCTGTCACTGTGCACAGCAGAGTGGACTGGCCAGTCCTGAGCCATTCTCACAGCTGTTACGTTTGAGCCCCTCGTTGCAACCATTAAGGCCTTCTTTATAAGGAGTATTCTGTACCACTTCCAAAGCAATTGTTTGTTCTTCTGGCAGTCTCTGGTATTTCAGTATTCTTTGTCATCAGCATATTTCAAATGCATCTATTTTAACCCTTAAAGAGGTATCTTTTGCCAAGTGTGTTACATTGTTTGCTTTCTTGAATGCTGCTTCTATGACCATTGATTATGGATCCAAGTAAAATGAAATCCATGGCAACTTTTGTCTTTTTTTTGTTTATATAGACATATATAGAGGTAATATGTATAGCCATAGTAGCAAGTGAAAACAGGGTCTATTTGAGATCAAAAGTACTGCATTTACCCCAGAGTGTAGTTCAGAAGGCAAGAGGAGAACAGGAATCCCTGTGGGGAGGCATGTGGGACAAGTATTGTAACATTGTGGGAATTACAGTCTATAGCATGAAGCAGAGCATATATGAGCTAACTATTGTTGAAAACTGAATTGCTTCATAAAACCTTCACCCAAATAACAATTGGGGCGGGGGGGGGGGGGGGGGGGGCGCAAGCTGAGTATCTTACAAGATCTAGTAACAAGTGCTTGTGGGGCATCTATAACTGTAATTGGCTAAATTCAAGATAATAAGAAAGCGGTCTAATCTAAAGTCTTAACCTCCTACCTTAATTAGAAAAGAAAAAAAATTAAATAGTAATAATAAGGAAGGAATAAGTAGGGAAAATGAAAATCAAAAGTAGGGGTTTTTTTTCCTCTAAAGTGGTATACTTTATAGTTAGAAAATCAGGATAAAAAAGGTAATTTTACCCAAAAGCTAACTTAGATGAAGTAGACAAATTCCTAGAAAATCTGGATACTTCTGTAACAAGTAGAGAAATTGACTTTGTAATTACATTATAAAGTCAGAAAAGCCCAAGTCCAAAATTTAAACTGGGTTCAGAAGATGCTTGCTGACAGGAAAGATGCTTAGAGCATCTACTGATGATCAAAAACCACAGCCCCAGTTTGAATTACAACTCTGTGTAAAGAAAACAAAAATCTTCACAATTGAACCAATAGACAACATGATAAATGGAGGAGAGATTAAGGTTTTCAGGGATCTCAGTTAATTGGATCCACTCAGTGCTCGTGGAGGCAGCAGTCAAGCAATCAGATCAAACTGCACTGGGCAAATCTGTTGCCCTAGACAAGCCTGTCTTGGAAGGGGCACAGCCAGAACGCTACTCAGAAGGAAGCATGGAGAGACTGTTTCTTGCCTGCCTTTGACCATCCATTATCAGGAGAGGGTAGTCCCAGGAGAATGGCATTATGCTGGGTAAAGTGGAGGGTCAGAAATGAGACTACCTGCAACAATAAGTTTAAGCATAATACTTAGGACAGTAACTTGGGGCTGGCCAGTGTCTCATTCTTTTGTGACAAAAGGTCCCTCTGAATTGGAGCAGGACTCAAGGGCCCCTAACAGCAGTAACATCATACTTCAAGGTGAAAGACTGGGTGTTTTCTCCCAGGTTAGAAACAAGGCAAGCTCGTCTGCTCCTGTCACTTCTATTACATTCTTGCCAGGACAATTAAAGAACCCTGGTGGCACCTTGGGTTAGGCATGGGGCTGCATACCCCAAGGTTGGTGGTTCTAGCCCACCAGCTGCTCTGTGGGAGAAATATGCTGTCCCTGTAAAGATTTCGTCTCAAACCTTATGTAGTGTTGGCTATTGATCAGAATGGACTCAGTGGGAGTAGGTTCGATTTTGGATAGCCAGGATAATTAATCAAGAAAAACTAAAGCGTCTGGGTTGCAAAGTAAACAAGTAACACTATTCATAGATCTTATAAAATAGCTATCAGTACAAAAAACCTATTCACAAATATTCATGGCAGTATTACTTACAGTAGTTAAAAAGAGGAAGTACTTCAAATGTTCATCAGGGGAATACACAAAACAGTATTACTCAGTACACTTCATGCAACTGTGGGGAGGAACTTTTAGGGTATTGCTGCAAAATGAAAGGAATCTGCTGTACAAGATCATACACTGCCATATTTATATGAAATGTCCAGAATAATAAGATCAATAAAGATGCAATTTCAACTAGTGGATTTCAGGGCCTGGGGGAGGTTAGTAATGGGGAATACGAGGTCATTGTTACCCAGTTCTATGTATACCATGAACCACTGAATTGTGTACTTTAAATAGGAAAAGTTTGTGATTTATGTTATATCAAAGATATTTTAATGAGGTACTATAGTAATAAGCTATAAATTAAAAGCACAAACTGTTTCCCCTTATGTAATAAGAATTAGAGGGATAATTCATTGCTTCTGTTATAAAAATCATTCTTTGGAGACTGTTATTTTTGTAGTAAAAGAAATTGTGTTTGTTAGAGAGTAGAAAAATAGAATTTGAATCAATATTCACATTCCAAATATGCCTTTTTGTGGATTGCAACCCAGCTTGTAACCACTTCACTACCAACGCTGTGAGAGCTGCCTTTTGAACAGTTGGGGTTTGATCCTTTCTTGAACGCTTTGCCGTCTCTCTGTTTTCTTTTATCAGGTAGTCTATTGTGTTGTTAGTGGCGTGGATTGATTCTTAGTGACCCTGTGAGATAGAGTAGAACTGCTCCCAGGGCTCTTTCCCACAGCTGTAAGCTTGAGGGAAGCACAGCACTACGTCTGTCTCTACCCACCAAGCTTCCACTTCCCATCTGAGACCAGACCCATTGCACCACCACTCAGTTTAAATAAAATGTACACGAGTGCATCGCACATAAGTGTGCACACACTACAAAATGTCGCTGTAAATCGTGCAACACCGTATTGTAGCATTTGTATTGATTTCCTATTTGTGTCTTGATTTTTACCTCCTTTTACCTGCAATATAAAACCCTATCCTTTTTTGCCGTTTTTAGCCTTCAGTTTGACCCAGCACCTCGTCGTGGAGAGCCTCATGTGACTCGGCGTACCCCTGACTACTTCCTGTAACTTCTCCAGGGAAAACTGGCCTTTGTATGTGGAAATATACGTGGCTTGTAAAAATATATCTATATTCAAAATAAGAGAAGCAACAGTAATCTGTGTGTTTCTGTAACAAATTGGGATCTGTCTTGGCATTAAACCACATCATGGACCAAACGGTGCCATACTGATGAACATTTAGCACAATTTAAACTGAAACTCAGTACAGCACTCTGTCTTAGATCAGCCCCTCGACAGTTTGCCTGCTGTATTTGTAATGACTATTTTCTGCTGACTGTTCAAACAAAAAGGTCACTAATTCCTCCATCTTCTTTTGCACTTAGTTGAGATTTTAGTTACAGTGTTTAACTGGCATGGATTATTAAAGTTGGAGTTTTATTTTAAGGAAAATTCACAAGCTAACTTCCACTTAACCTATGACCCTTTATTTTATTGGAATGTGTAACTAACTGAAGATTCTTCTTGGGAGTATGTCGTCATAACATTTAATGAGATTTCCCTTCATTTAAACTACTTTTATGTTGATCTGCATATTTCTGTATATTTTTCATGTCGGTGCTTGCATCCTATTTGGTGTACTGAGCAAATAAACTCCATTTTAAATAAAAACATCTTACTGTGGTATGCATTAAATGGAAAGTTTATTATTGAAATTTATGGTAAAGGCTCTACCTATCTTAGGCGATTAATGTTGGGATAATTAAAAGTGTGAATTGTATACTAAAACAATACTAGAAACTTTTTTCATTGGAATAAATTGTTCTGGGAACATAATAATTGTTATTATTGGTGCTGGGTTCATGATAGAGCCAACAAGTTCTCTGCTGTCACAATTGACCCTCAATTTTAGGCATGCTCTTTGCACTTTGGCTCTAGAGGTACAATTTTCTTAGCATTTCTGTTCCTCCTTTCTGTGGTAGCCACACTTTGTCTTGTATGCAAGGTCTTCAAAATAGTCATAGAAAAATATATCCTCACATACTTGTCAACTCAAGTATTTATCCAGCTATCCCCCACCTACTGTTCCCTGTCCAGCAATAATTTTGAAGCAGACTTTAGCCATATTTCCTATCAAGTGCATCTTTAAAGAGCAGACTCTCCTTTCAACCACAAAACCATCATCATACCTTGAAAATAACAACTCCTTGATTAGATGGTTCTATTTTCCCCAACTCATTGCAAGATGACTTTGGTAAGAAGAATAACCAAAATTCTAAAGACTACAGTGTTAATTTCTGAGCGTTGAATCAAGGGCAGTCTTTGTATATATAGCCATTTAAGCCGGCCATAGCGCCTGTGCCTAAATTCAGAAGAACATTGCTTTTGTAACCAAGGAGACAATTAAGCATCTCTATTATTAGCCCTTTAGTTGTTCATGCAAAGGAATAGTTTTTCTTTGTCTTAAAGAAAATTATCTGCATGACCAAGAAATATCCCTCATAAATTTTGTGTTGAAAAATTGGGGCAGGAGGAGCATTGTGTTTTTCCATGCATTTTAGAATATATTAATTACTAAAATATTTTTTTTTAATTTAGTGCTGATAATAATTTTCTGGAATCAAGGTTCCAGAAATGATGGAGATGTACTACTGAAAACCGAGCCTATGCAAGTGTGGTCAAAACAAGTAGATGTGAAAATGCTCTCTTTTGCTCTTCTCTTGGCACGTCAGGCTATTTGAAAGACCTGCTGGAAGCTTTTTGAATCTTTGAAAGGAACTAAGACAACTCAATGGCCAGAGAAGCCAGAGAATCCACCCCAAAAAATAAGTTGTTCTTGCTGACTTTGTTTTTGTTTGGGTGGCGGAGTGTGTGTGTGTGTGTGGGGGGGGGTGCCCTGATTAGTTCCTCTACTAATTATCTATTATCACAGAACAAATTTCACCAAAACTTAACAGTTTGAAACAGCATTTATTCCGCAGTTCTGAGCGTCGGGAGTTCAGAAGCGGCTGTCCTGAGTGTTCTGGTTTGGGTCTCATTGGGCTGTCGTGAAGGGGAGCCAGGGCCCCAGTCTGGGATTTAACTCTGGCAGAACTCACTCCAAGTGGGAGACCTCAGTCCTTCGACCTGGGATTACTCCCGACATGCTGTCCCCCGGAACAAGCGATGAGATAGACGATACAACCTGATCCACGAAGGGCATGTCTTCATTTCTGGTTACTTCTGTTGATCACGCAGACAAACCCTGGTACGTTGTGGAAGCGGGCAGAACAAAAGTGAATAGTGGGAGAGAGATTAATGAGGCCATCTTAAAGGAGGGTGACCTTTAATTCAGTCAAGGTATGGCACAATTTCAGCTGAATCCTTTATTGTCCTGTAAGATCATGGCACAACTGATCTATTTCTTAATTAGCTGCTCTGCTTTTTCTCTTCCACATTGAGAACAGTATCCACAGTTATTCCTATGTCCTCCAGGGTCCAACTTCCCTCTACTTCCAGAGGCCTCCTGGGAAAGGAAGTAGAAAGGCTATACAGGGATGTGGGATAACCAACTTTCGTCATCCAGTCAAGTAAGACCTACAAGAGAAGAAAACCTTTGTTATCACATATTTGTACACACTGTGTTCCTCTAGTTCTCTAAGGTTCTTTGATTAAATGGTGCCATTAGTGGCAATGAAATAATGGAAAGAAAGCTCTCACAACTTTTAAAACCCCTTCCGAGAGTTAATATTCTGATGGGAACAAGGTGAGGCCTCGTTTTAATTTGTACCTCTGTGATAAGTGACCCCAAATGTTTGTTCACATTTTTATTCTTTGTTTTTCTTTGGAAAGCCACACTCACGTTTTTATTCTGCTAGTCTACTGAAGTACTTAACCTTTTATTTGACTCATGTGTGCTCCTTATAAAAATTAGCTGTATCATATATAATGGTACAACCTTTTCTTGCAAGTTTGATGTTTAGCTTTATGAATTTTCTCATTCAATTTTTTTCAGTTCATTAATTTTTTTGATAGTCATATGCCACTGTTTCCATTATGATTTATGCCATTTCTTGACAGAGAGAGTTAAACACAACTATCAGGATTAAAATTTATTTACATTTAAATGTACTTTCGAACTGAAATACACCAGAGTGCTTAGTAATTAGTTTCAGTGTCAGTGTTCGGTAGACTAGATCTCATCATCTTTATTTCTCTCTACTGTTCTGTATGTGGTTCCAAAGTGTTGCTTTTGAAAACAATTGTTTTTATAAGAAAAGAAAATATTTGGACAAAAGGAAACAAGCTCCTTGAGAGTGATCTTAAAAATTATATAAGCAGTGGCGTTTAGGTTAAATGGATGCAAAGTTACTACTGGCAATTTCCTAAGGGTTGAAAGCATCTTACCCACCAACCGGGAAAAACAAAAACAACAGAAAAGGGAATATAAGAAAACTCTAATGCAGACTACTAGGTTCAACAAAGTCTTAGTTTCTGCATATATGAAGTATCAAACTCTTCCTCTGGCACATGAATAAGCTACTGTCAAGTTTACATATATAACTACCATATATACTCGAGTATAATAAGCTGACCCAAATATCTGCTGAGGCACCTAATTTTACCACAAAAAATGTGCTGAAAACCCCAGCTTATACGCGAGTGTATGTGGTATATATTTCTCAATTTTCTCACCTGGGAACTGCAAGATTTAAAAAACCTTCTCCTCGGAACACAACCACTTGGACAGCGGAGGGCAACAGTAACTACCTAAGGAATAAAAATAGTCAAATGAGAATTCTAATCCATGACTTAAGTTACGCCTCCTGTTTAGGACCTAAACGTATTGCTGTTGGGTCCACTCTAGTTCTTTTTGTTTGTTTTCACTCTTAACAACCCCATGTGTGCCGGAGTGGAACTGTACCTGCTTAGTAACAGAGCCTTCCAAAGCAGGCATCACAGACTAAACACTTCTTTGCCCCAAATGAAGCTGGGGTAACGTGACCTACCAAGCCAAGGGAGCTAGGGCCACCTCAGATTCTAGACAAAAATACTCCCCTGGAAGAAACATTATGTTCCCCCCCAGTCTCTCGTGTCGGTGTGCACCATCCTCACTTCACCTCCGGAGGGACGAGGCCAGTCTGTCCCAGAATCTGGGAGCCCAGAGGCCTCTCCTTGGAGCAGCTCTGCTTTATGTACTTTACACACAGAAGTTCTCTAGCCCTTCCTTCGCTAAAAACAGCCAATATCAGGCTTAGCCTGCAAACTGCTCATCTATTATGGAACATTATAAATAAAAAGATTTTTTTAAAGCAGATGATAGATCAATAATTGATGTTCGATAACTGATGTTCAATATTTGCCTCCTACAAAATCCCCCCCCTTACAAGATTCTTATGACTAATGTTATCATTAGCTGTTCTGTGAATTGCACTGGCAGCCTAAAATAGTGGTTTTAGAGCAACAATCCCTCAGGAAAACCACACTAGAAAATATTCCCGCTCCTGTAGTTAGGCATTGGAGTCACGGCTCAATCAGTGTTATGTGATTTGGAATTAATCATAGATTAAAGGCCAGTTATACTTAATTTTTGAAACAAAATTTAATTTTACAATCTTTAATGATGTGATAGAAAAAGAATTACAACCAACCAACTTATTTCTTGAGAAACAAAGCTTATGTTATAGTGAAGTAATGTTTTATATTCGATAAATGCTTGAAAGAAATACTTAGTGTTTGAAATGTAGCAATTGTTCTATTACAATTTTTGTGATGGTTGGTTGTGCTATTTGTCATATTATGACTGGATAATGGACCAAGATAGGAGTAGGGAAAAGGCAAAGGTCATTGCCCAAACCGAACCAAAACCCCTGCCATTGAGTTGATTCCAGACCTTAGCGACCCTATAGGACAGAGCACAACTGTTCCTTTGGGTTCTGAGGCTGTAAATATTTACTGAAGCAGACTGCCTCATCTTTTCTCTCCCAGAGTGCCAGGTAGGTTGAAATTGCAGCCTTTGGGTTGGAAGAGGCTTAGCTGCTGGGCCACCAGGGCTCCTCCACAGTCAGACGCTGAAACTGCTGTTGGACATCGCTGTATATCTTGTGTCTGTGTCACAACTTTCAAGTCTCTTCGGCATAGACCTATGAATGGAATAGCTGGGTCATACGGTAACGTATGCATGAGAGTGTCAAAGCAGTGCCCCAAAAGTTGTTACCACAATTAAGAGCATATGACAAAGTAGTTACTGTAGTAATCTGATGATTTTTATTTAAATTGCCGTTTCAATTTAAAAGTAAGCCAGCAACCACTCATGCACTGCCAGGGGGAATGTAAAATGGTACAGCCACTGTGGGAAAGAGTTTGGCAATTCCTCCCAAAAGTTGAACATCCAACTACAACATGCCCCAGCTATTCCACTCATAGGTGTATATATGCCCAGGAGACTTGAAAGTAGTGACACAAACACACAACATTTACACCAATGCTCCCTGCAGCACCATTCACAGCCCAAAGGTGGAAATAACTGAGATAAAGGTGTATATAACTGAAATAAACAACAAAAACCTCACTACTGCCATCAAGCCGATTCCTGTGGGTTTTGAGACTAACTCTGGGAGCAGAAAGTCCTGTCTTTCTCCCTTCAAACAGCTGACCTTGCAGTTAGCAGCCACACATGTACCCACTGCACCACCAGGGCTCCTGATGTCTGTCTACTAAAAGATAAATGGGTAAGCAAACTGGGGTACAGACAGACTGTGGGACATTAATCAGCCATACTGAGAGATGCATCCTTCTACATACTACAACATGAATGAGTCTTGGGTTGGGAAAGGCCTGAGCAAAGTAAGTCAGGCACCAATGGGAAACTACTCTTGAAATAAGCGTTATTAGTTCACTCTAGCTCTAAAACTCATAAGAGGGCGTAACTGTCCAAACAAAACCACTGCTTGTGGATTTATGCCAACTCCTAGTTGACACCATAGGACAACACTAGAGGACACTAACGTAACAGCCCATTGCTTCTCAAGGCTGTCTATCTTTATAAAAGTAGCCGGTCACAGAGTGGTTAGGGGGTGGGGGATTCGAAAGGTGGACCTTTTGGTTGGACTTGGGGGAGGGTGGAAAAAAAAAAAAAAAGGTGGACCTTTTGTTAACAGAAGAGCACTTCACCACTCTACCTCCAGGGTCTAGTCCATTGTAGACTGCTCTTGTCCCAGCAATTTCTTAACCGTCTTGGGGTCATAAGTCTAACAATATTAAGCACTGCCTTTCTCCCTAAAAAAGGAGATGTGAGCACAAACAGGTGCAATCTCAATGGGGCTGTGGCTGACACACAGGTCTGCCATCCAGGGGACCCTGAGTGCCGAGCTTCTGCTCTGGAGGAAGTGTGTCATGTGTCTCAAAGCCTGTGTGAGTTCATACAAGCGTTCCCTTTCCGACCTGAACTATACCTAACGACTCCTGCATTATGAAATGGTTGCCATAGATACCAGAGCTTGATGAGACACCAGGGTGCAGAAGCATGAATTTGACACAAAAGGCAAGGGATAAATTAACCATTTTTTAAAAAGCAACTCTCACAGCGCAGGAGTGGGAGGGAGGGTATTTGGTAGTTGGATTGCACTTAAGTTCAGACTTCCAAAACAAAACAATTAGATGTTACAAATGTGCTGACAAAAGTGAAACCCTCTCCATTACTTTCGAGGCTACATAAAACATGGTTTTCAAGGAGAGCCTGATAGTGGTTGAGTGCCAAAAATGGAGAGCCATGGAGTTTGGGGGCTTTCTGTCTGCTTTTATTACCTCCAGGCCTTGTGTTCCCAGGTTAGTGGCCTGCCTCCGAGCTCCTGGGCAGGGGCAGGAAGGCAAGGCAGACAGAGGCTGAGAAGGCAGCTCGGTGCAGTTTTATTTGGGCCCCACCACAGGCCCAAGCAGCAAACACCTCAAAACATCTACAACAGAGCTGCATTCTTTACTTGCTCTTTTTTGAAGGGGAGAAACTAGCATTTGAAGTACTCTGCTGATTTTTATTCCGTGTAAGTAGCTCGTCAGTGACTGGAAGTTTTGGGAAAGTCCACGTAAGCCACCACTGCTGCGAATGGGCACTCTGAAAAACAAACTTAGCTGACGGACAGCAGCTTCTAAAAGAGGCTCACTGAGAAGTTTTATACTATTTACTATTTTTAGGATCAGGCCTAATTTAAGTAGACTCACTTAAGCCATTTTTTCTATTTATATCCAACTTTGATTTTCTTAATAATTGCTATTGGCTCGATTCCAATGCACGGCAATCCCATGTATACAAAGCAGAACCGCTCTGTGGGGTTTTCAATGCTGGGACCCTCCAGAAGCAGACTGGCAAGGCTGTCTTCCGAGGTGCCTCTTTGTGGGCTTGAACTGCCAACCTTTCAGCTTGGCCACCAGGGTTTTTACATCTGACTTTAGGTAAGGCATATTTACAAAAAAAGGAAGAAATAACATTTAAGAGGGGAGTAAGAGGAAGCTTACTTCAGCAGCTGTTTCCGGAGGTTCTTCAGGTAAATCAAGAACCTAAAGAAAAGCAAATATTGGTAACAGGAATGTCAACATTTTCAAAGAGAAGAAAGTAATGTATAAAAAGAGCTTTCAATGAAAATCCTCTCAGTATACATCTATAGAATAGGAATGAAAGCTAGATAAAGACTTTTTTGGAAGTAAACTACTTAGTGTTAATAATAGATCATAAAAACGGGATTGGAGGGGACGGGGGAGCCCCTCATAATGATTGACACACACACACCTCTCCAAGGGAAAGAACAACAGAAACCATGGGGGAAGGGAGACTGGTCGGTGTGAGATATGGAAATAATAACTTATATTCAAGGGAACACGAGAGTTGGGAGGGGATAAAAAAGAGGAGCTGATACCAAGGGCCCAATAGAAAGTAAAGGTCTAGAAAAGAATGATGGCAACATATGTACAAATATGCCTGATGCACTTGCTGTATAGACTGTAATAAGAGTTTAAGGGATCTAAAAAAAAAACAGATTTGAGATGATTGTACCAATCTACACAATTAAAGAATGTTGTTCTTATGGTATTTCCAGATAGCATACACATAAAAGAAACAAAGGGTAAATATTGACATGGATTATGCTCAGTATTTACAATTACTTCATTTAGACTCATACATGCATTTTAACACAATTGCATAATTGCCCTCACTGGCTCTTTGAAGGGAAAACTACTCTATTTTTCACAAATAGGATACCCATGTAAATAATGTGCCCACACATACAAAGGGGCTTCAGAGTTCATGGTTCCTCTGTTCTGTCTCATGATCTTGGTGCTACAGCTTCTAGTGCCACTTCAGACAGGGATCTCACATGCACTCTACTAGTGGCTCCTCTTTCTTGGTGGTCATAGGATTCCTCTGTTCCTGTGTATGAGATGGCTCACTATTATAGCCAGTGGTATGGCAAAACTGACCAATTCCTAAGTTCGAATCCTCTATACCTTATTTGCATGTTCCCACCCAACTACTATTCGTAGTTACAGACTACGAAGAGCCATACCAAGAATTTCACTTCATCATAAAGTGAATAGTTGTTCATCAGTTTCCTAAATAGGTCAGCGAGGAAAATTATGCACTCGTGTTAGAATGAGGTTGCTATTAAAAACAGTTTTCAGCTACTAATTGGGGCTTAATCATAATGTCTTAAGTTGCCTAATAAAGATGGTCTCCTCAGTAAACATTACATTTTCCAGTTCTTCAAATTAATCCTCAAAAAGAACTGAGTGTTTTCTAAACATGTCGTTGATCTTCAAAGCTTCCCTCTTAAGTTAGATTTGTACTAATTAGTACTAATAGTGAACAGGGAAAGTAATTCTTAATGCATCACTGATCACCTTGTGAGAAGAACCATTAAAGCCAGCCCTAACTTTCCCATAGCACACTGACACAATTCTGTGAGTAGACATGGAGTAATGACCTTCTTCTGTGGGGGTTGTTTAACAGGTGGTGAAACTCTGGTGAAAGATTTAGGCAAGTTCCGTCTCCTTGCTGCTTCTCTGTTTGACGTTTCAAAAGACATCTGACTTGCATCTTCAAGCACCACGTCTTCATTGCTCTGGTCAAGGAAAACAGACAATTTATAAAGAAACCGCCCCAATCACCTTTATTCTATTCATAATGGTTATTTCTCTTATCCTGGTGGCATTCCAATACAAAAAATAAGTGGGTTATTTAAAATTAAATTAAAACATCTCCTTAGACAAGAAAACCTGAGGCTTAAGTTCTCAGATCTCACTCACTCTATAGAGTCAATTCTGAGTCCTAGTGACCGTATAGGGCAGAGTAGAACTGTCCCCTGTGGGTTTCTGGGACTGTCAGTCTTGTGTATTGTGAAAAATGACAATCATATCTGAAGACATAGCCTAAAAGCCAGCGGTAGAATGGGCAATTCATACTGAGATCATCTTAGAAATTGTTTCATCTGGTTAAAACCAAGCTATCAATGTCCAGCACCAAAAGCACAGAACACAAGCTCAGTCCGGTGCAAAGAGCACTTGTATTTGACCTTTCTATCTTCCGCATTAATCCTATTACCTACCTCATGTTTATTGTGTAACACATCATTACGAGATTAGTAAAAACTCATCTGATTCACAACAAGTATCCTATTTAGGCTGAATCATTTTCTTTATAAGATGGGAAAGGTACAGTCTAAACAGAAAGTATAAAAGGCAAAACTGTCTTTGGGATAAAAATGGGCTTACATGGAGAATCGGTGGGCGTGTTCTACTTTTTTTTTAAATCATTTTATTAGGGGCTCATACAACTCTTATCACAATCCATACACACATCAATTGTGTAAAGCACATTTATATATCATTCTCAAAACATTTTCTCTCCACTTAAGCCCCCGGCATTAGGTCCTCATTTTTCCCCTCCCTCCCCGCTTTCCCCTCCCTCATGAGCCCTTGATAATTTATAAATTGTTATTTTGTCATATCTTGCCCTGTCCGACGTCTCCCTTCACCCACTTTTCTGTTGTCCGTCCCCCAGAGAGGAGGTCACATATAGTTCCTTGTAATCGGTTCCCTCTTTCCAACCCACTCTCCCTCTACCCTCCCTGTTTCGCCACTCACACCACTGGTCCTGTAGGGCTCACCCGCCCTGGATTCCCTGGATTTTCAGTTCCTATCTGTACCAGTGTACATCCTCTGGTCTAGCCAGACTTGCAAGGTCGAATTCGAGTCATGGTAGTGGGAGCAGGGAGGAAACATTTAGGAACTAGAGGAAAGTTGTATTTTTATAAGAATCTTTGTGAAAACAAAATTGAAAAATTTAAACTTCTGTTGGCAAATGAGAAAATTCATACTCAATGCCAAATGAAAAATAGCCAAAGCTAATTTGGCTTTAAAAGAGAGACCTCAGCAATTAATGTAACATGAGCTAATAATGCCTTGGAGAGCTTACCCCGAGGAGAGATGAGTGCCCCTCACATAGGAAAACCATCGTTACTTGTATTCCAAGTGTGCTCAAGTACTACTTGATGGTGGAACTTTGCACGGGCTGAAGGGACGTACTCTTAGCCCTCCAAATTCACTGACCCACTCAACACATCAGGCCGATACAAATGTGTAATCGTTATTAATAAACACTGCTGAAACTATCACATAATTTTAACAGAAAGCTCAACAAATTTAAACAAACGCAAGTAGTAGAAAAATTCAAAATATAGAATGAAAATATTTTCTAACCCCAAGTTTGTGGCCATTGCTTAACTTCCAGGTTTCACCCGTCATTTGATAAAATCGCTCTTCCATTTTTTTCAGCTTCATTTCTTGGTGAGGTTTCAAAACGTTCTCTAAGTATCTGCTGACCTGTTCAGAAAAATAAAGTCCATGTTACTACCTTACATATACTATACATACTAATGTTCTTCCAGGAGCCCTGGCAGCCTAGTGGTTACATGTTGGGCTGCAATCCAAAAAGTCGGCAGTTTGGAACCACCAACCACTCCTTGGGAGAAAGCCGGGGCTTTCTGCTCCCATAAGCCATAACTCTCTCGGAAACTTACGGGATAATCTACCCTGTCCTAAAGGGTCGCTATGGATTGCCTGACTCAATGACAGTTTTGAGAACATGTACCCTCACTATGAAGTCTCCAGAAACTCACATCCTGTGTTCGCATATCAACTCCATTGTGCAAATTAAGGCAGCACTGTCCATTTTTACTTCCCTCCATAAAATTCTGCATTTGCATGTCATGCAAACTAAAACAAACTCATGTATTTATATTGATATGGTAGACGACCTCCAAACTCAAAATCATGACTCATAGCGACCCTGTAGGACAGGGTAGAACTGCCTCTGGATTCCCATGACTGGAACTCTTTACCAGAATAGAAAACCCCATCTTTCTCGCTGAGGAGTGGCTGGTGGTTTCTAACTGCTGATGTGGTTAGCAGCCCAACACCTAACTACTACACCGCCAGAGCTGCTACTATGGCTAGCTCTCCTTTAACGTGTTCAGTGCAGCACACCTTACGCAGGACACACAAAGGAATAGGACATGGTGCCAGACAACCAGGAGCTTTACATATGGGTGGCTTGTTTAAGGCCATTATTATTCCCTCTTGTACTGTCTTATCCTAACAGGCATGAACTTGATTGGAGGAAGGTTAATTGTATAGACTAATCAGGGTGACGTAGAAGAAACAATATTTGGAATTAAAAGCCATGGAATTGATGGTTTTGAACTAACAAAGCCATTTCTCTCCTCCTCTTCCTGAAAACCATTCCACGTCAACAAGGGGACCAAAAAGCACAAACTCAAATTCTACCACCGATGAAGCAAAGAAACACTAGCCCCCAAACCACTTGCAGCAAATGGAAGAATGGAAATTGACATCACAGAAGGGAAAAGACTGAAACCTGTGTGCTTGCAAAGGAGAACAATGGTAAGAATCAAGCCAGTATACCTTGGAGCAGCTCAGCTACCATAGCTAGGGGAGATGGAGTGAGCGACACAGCTAAAACCAGGAAGTGGAAGCTGACAGAGGAAGACACATCAAGCATGGCCCAATAATGAGTTAGCAATGACTCGATAATTCTGATTAATTCTTTACACCTGACTTTTTTAGTGAAAAACGAAAGAGCTATTAGGTCCTCAGATCCACTATCCTATTAGCCACAGGCAGCCATGGAAGGTTTCTTCTCGGAGAAAATGAACCAGAGAGGCTCCAGATTCACAGATCGTAGCACTAGTGGAGGGCAGTAGTGCAAGTGAACACAGAGGAAGTGAAAATGAACATACTGAAAGGGAAGACTCTTTGGTCTCTCTCTCCTACTTTACTAAAATTGCCGAGAGCTAGCCTTTAACTCTCCCCTCACCCCACCACTCCAGATGTTGCTGGGAAAGGTAGATAATTAACATGCAAAATGAAGTTGTATCCCTACCTCACACTATACATGAAAACCAACTCAAAATGGATCAACAGCCTAAATATCAGCAATAAAACAAAACGTTCAGAAGACAACATAGGGATAAACCATATCTTTGGATTTGGCATATTTTCAGAAATGCTAAGAACATGTGACAAAGGCAAAAATAGATAAACTGGATTTCATTAACATTTAAAACTGCGTAGAACATAATCATTAAAGTAAATGACAGCCCACAGAACAAGTGAAAGTATTTGTAAATCATGTATCTAATAAGGGTTTAATATCTAAAATATATAAAGAACTACAACTCAACTACACCCCCCCCCAAAGCCAATAATCACATAAAACAATGTTCAACATCATACTTGCTAGGGAAATGCCAACAAAATCTTGACAGATGACTGGAATAGCTATAATTTAAAAGTATATAAGTAAATTACAAGGGTTGGTAAGAATAGAGAGAAACTGGATGCCTCTTCCATTGCTGGTGAGCCTGTAAAATGGAGCAGCCAATGTGAAAAATAACTTGGCAGGTCTTTAACAAGTGCAGCATAGAGTTACTAAGGAGCCATCAATTCCCCCTCTGTATGGAACCAAAAGAATGAAAACAATCCTGAGACAAATCAGCACCACAAATGCTATTGGGAATAGCAACACTATTCACAATAATGAAACAACCCATCAACTGATAAATAGATAAAACAACGGGGTATAGCCATACAATTAAATATGGCCTAGCCATAAGAAATAACAAAATACTGATACATGCTACAACATGGATTAACCCTGAACACATGTAATGTGAAAGAAGCTAGACACATATTGTATGATTATATTTTTATGAAATATCCAGGAAAGGTAAATCTATAGAGAGAGATCGGTAGTTGCCAGACAATGGGGCTGGGAATGGGAAGTCATTCCTTAATAGCTACAGGATTTTCTTTGAGAATGATGAAAATATTTGGCAATTAGATAGGCATGGTTGCACATTGTGGGAATACTGAACACAATTGATTTGTCTTGTTTACAATGGTTAATTTTATGCTAAATTCATTTCGCCCAGTGGAGGGGTGGGGCAATCTTAGCACATCCAGAAAGTAACAGACTCAGCACCTACCCAAGCCCAGGTATCTGTCTGTGTCCTCTGTCAATAGTCTCTAGAATGTCTGAGTTACCTTTTCGCCCTGAGCGTCTTCTTGTTTTTTTCTTGCAAGTTTTTGCCTTTCCTCGTTTTTCTCCTCTTCTTCATCTAAGACATTAATAAAAAGTGTTAAAAAAAACTTTTTAAATTCCCAAGGATCCCAATAAGTTGAATGCAATATTGTCTGAAAATAACCTGTAGATTTTAACATTTTGTGACAAAGACAAGGTGACTTACTGCTGTGGAATTTTTCTTTTTCTATTAGCACAACATACAACATATACACACAGGTGACACAGATCCAAAAGTAAAATCTACAACAGAGCTCTGTTCTGAAACAGATTCTCTAATGTGTAAGACAGTAACTCCCCAACCCCCCAAAAAAAAACAGGAAAAAGCTCCTCTGAGCAAAGCTTTCATAGTACACATCCCACCCACACACCCCGTCCCCAGGCGAGCACGGAGCAACTCCCTCCGAGCTAGTGCACTTGGTGGCATGGCCTGGGAAGGTTCTCTCTGGTCACAGTGAATTTTTTCGTTAAAGCCCTTTTGCTTGAACCTCGTTTTTTTGTGTGTGATGGCAGATTCAAGAGAACAATGTGTGGCTGTGAAATTTTCTTTCCTGCTTGGGAAAAATGCTGCAGAAACTGTTGAACACAGCTTACAAGGACAGCACTACAGGAAAAACTCAGGTGTATGTGTGGTTTTCTCATTTCAAAAAAAAGGTGAAATGTCAATTGATGACAAACCTCATTCTGGATGTCCGTCAATTTTCTGAACAGATGAAAATGTCAACAAAATTCATGCACTTGTGCTCAAAGACTGACAATGGACCACTGAATGGTGGGGAAGTTATCTGGACTATCTTGGAGCTCAGTACAGCAAATTTTAATGGAAGATTTGGAATGAGAAGGGTCACTTCGAAGTTTGTGCCTCCGGTTCTGATGGACCAGGAAAAAAGAACATTGAGTGGAAACATGCCTTGCTTTGAAAATCCAGCTCCAAAGCACCCTAGGCTTTTTCCCAAAGATCGTCACTGGTGATAAGACATGGTGCTATTCTTACGACCCCAAAAGCAAACATCAATCAGCCAGTGGAAGACACCATCGCCACCCTCACTTTAAAAAGCTCAAGTGAAATAAAAGATCAAGATGATACTCATTTGTGTTTTTTTCATGTGAGGGGGATAGTGCATTTGGAGTTTGTCCCACCGGGTCAGACTTTTAATCAAGCTATTTATTTAGAGGTTCTGAAAAGATTGCATAACAGGGGGACAAAAAAGCCTTGATGTGTGGCAGATGGGGGACTGGTTTTGCCACCACAACAATGCACCTGCTCACGCAGCCATCTCAGTGCTCCAGTTTTGGGCACAGAACAGCATGCCTCTCTTGCCCCGTGCACCCAGCTCACCTGACCTTGCTCCTTTTGTCTTCTTATTGTTTCCGTGAATGAAGAGGGACATGAAAGGACAGCGATTTGATAACAAAGAAGTGAAGAAAAAAACGAGGGAGGTGCTTTCAGCCATCCAACCAGATGAGTTTGAAAAATGTTTCCAAAAATAGAATCACAGATTTGACAAGTGTTTTAAGTGCAATGGAGAGTACTTGGAAGGTGATAAGGTTGCTTTGGAAAAAAATTTAAATACATAGCTTTGAAAAAAAATTCTGACTCTTTTTGGGTACTCCCTCGTATGCTATTACTGTGCTCCTAGGTGATAGTTTTGGCAAGGGCACTTTCAGAGTCACTCTGGTGGCTCTTCTTCTGAAGGCCCAACAGGCGGCAGCACAGAGGAGCAAGGAGCTCTGTGATGCAGGCTGTAGGGAGGCCGTGCAGTCAGCCTTGCTCACATAGCATGCAGGCCTCAACAGTGGGTGTGCTTGACAACGCCCATGACTGACCAAGATTAAGTTATCCGCTACTGAATATCAAGAGAAAGAATTCCTACGGTTGTAAAAACCCTTGTTGTAAGGGCAGTCTCAGAAACTCACAGCGTTGCTATGAGTTGACATTGACTCAATGGCAGTCGGTTTGGTTTTGGGGGAAGGACCTTTGTAATTCTGGGTAAACTGTGCATTTAAGCATGTGGCCCACTTCTTAAAACAACAGGTAACAAATAATTTTCTAATACAGCAAAAATAATATTCAAAATGGCTCGCAAATACTAATATCAAACCTAACCTAACTAACATTCCCATGAGGAATGATCCATTTTATAAGAAAATAAACACTGAATTGCCTGGCTCCTCATGTCGGAGCATTCAGTTCTATCAAAAACTCATTTCCATGACAAGAAGTATTAAGTGTATAAAACAATAATGAGAGCAGTAAAGTACAACGTGTAATCAGAAGGGCCACTTAAGACCAAAAAACAGGTATGTTATGTGATCAGTCAGATTCTGGCTACCCTAAGACGTCTTCCACCAAGCCCTAACTCAGAATGTCATTTTAAATATATCAATAATAGGTATACTTGTTAACACAGAGGACAGACTGCTTTGAACTTTGTTCTGCAAACCTTTTCTGCAAAATAAGGAGGAGTAAACTTTTGGATGCATTCAAAGACTCGTTTCTCGGTGTGCAATGAAAGTACAGGAAATAGCACGCTATTTTTCTATGAGCAAAGTAATTTTTTATCCTTGAATAAAAGTTCAATACATTAGGCTCTATGGACTGCCAGAAGAAAAAATAAATCTGTCCTGCAGAAGTACAGCAGAAAGCCCTTTAGAAGAAAGGTGGCGAGACTTTGTCTCACCAATTTTGGACACGTTCTCAGGAAAGACCAGTCCCTAGAGAAGGACACCATGCTTGGTAAAGTGAAGAGTCAATGAAAAAGAAGAAGAGCCTCAATGAGATGAATTAATACAGTGGCTGCAACAATGGGCTCAAATATAACAATTGTGAGGATGGCGCAGGAACAGGAAGTGTTTTCTTCTGTTATACGTAGCGTCACTGTCGGTTGGAACCAACTCACTGGCACTTGGCAACAACAACAACATCCACAGTCATAATTGTCACTATACATTAGGTACTTGTAGTCTTCTGTGGTGACTATCTCAAAATGATCAACCTGTGAGTGCACCAAAATGACTTCCATGCCAACAGCATAACTGTACAATTGAAAGGCAGAAATGGTAAGGAGTGTAGTCTTCCCTCTTTTACAAAACATAGACTAGAATTCCTGACAAATAGTTTAATGTATGCAGTAGCTATCCTTCTGATATAAGAATATATTTAACCCAAATTACCTAAGAAATGCTCTCACTTAGTTTTCTATATGAATAATTTCAAGTATGAGAACAAATATCAAAAGAAGAAAAAATAAATCCAAAATCTATGGTTGAAGACCCTGAAATATCCAGTTTTCATGTTTGTGTCAAATGGCATAATCTGTGAAGATCATGTTTATAACTAATAATTAATCTGAAGCAACTCAATTAAATGATGTATCTTTTTTTATATTTCACATAAATAGAAAACACAAAGTACCAGATTAACTATTGGCAAGGGTCTTTCTAATACATAGGAAAATGTAGGCTTTAGTTTTAGGATTCATCTTTTCTGGAACTAATGATAATACAGTTTTCATAGGATTTCAGAACTAATACATTTTCGCTTATCGAAACAAAAACATCCCTGAGTTCCTGTTAAGGGTGATGGAAACAAATACTGGTGATCATTGTACAGCATCCTTACCAAAATCAATACATTGCATTGTGTAGATAAAATGTGCTGTAGAGCAAGGGGGAACCAATCACAATGATCTACATATAACCCCCTCCCAGGGGGACGGACAACAGAAAAGTGAATGAAGGGAGACAGCAGTCAATGTAAAACATGAAAAAAAAACTTATAAATTATCAAGGGTTCATGAGGGAGAAGAGGTGGGGTAGGTAATGAGCTGATACCAAGGGCTCAAGTAGAAAGGAAATGTTTAGAAAATGTTGATGGCAACAAATATACAAACGTGCTTGACACAATGAATGGATTGTGATAGAGCTGCAAGAACGCCCAATAAATGATTTTTTTCTTTTTAAAATCATTTTATTGGGGGCTCATACTTGCTTTCTACTTGAACCCTTTTCAAAGGCATCAAAGAACAGCTCCTCATTTTTCCCTCCCTCCCCGCCCCCGCTCCCTCACAAACCCTCGATAATTTATGTTATTATTATTTTGTCATGTTTTATACTGTCCGACGTCTCCTTTCACCGACTTTTCTGTCCCCCTGGGAGGGGTTTATTTGTAGATCCTTGTGATCGCTTCCCCCTTTCTCCCCTATCTTCCCCTTCCCCTCCTGTTATCACTACTCTTATTACTGATCCTGAGTGGTTTATCTGTCCTGGATTACCTGTGTTTCCAGTTCTTATCTGTACAAGTGAACATCCTCAGGTCTAGCTGGATTTGTAAGGTAGAATTGGGGTCATGATGGTTGGGGGGTGCGTGGGGAGAAGCATTAAAGAACCAGAGGAAAGTTGTATGTTTCATTGTTGCTATACTGCACCCTGACTGGCTTGTCTCTTCCTTGTGACCCTTCTGTAAGGGGATGTCCAATTGCCTACAGATGGGCTTTGGGTCTCCACTCCGCACACCCCCTCAATCACAATATTTTTTGTTCTTTGATGCCTGATACCTGATCCTATCGACACCTTGTGATCACACAGGCTGGTGTACTTCTTCCATGTGGGCTTTGTTGCATCTCAGCTAGCTGGCTGCTTGTTTATTTTCAAGCCTTTAAGACCCCAGATGCTATATCTTTTGATAGCCGGGCACCATCAGCTTTCTTCACCACATTTGCTTATGCACCTGCTTTCTCATCAGCAATCGTGTCGGGAAGGTGAGCTTCATGAATGCCAGTTTAACAGAACAAAATATTCTTGCATTGAGAGAGTACTTGAGTAGAGGCCCAATGTCTATCTGCTTCCTTAATACTAAACCTATAAATATATGCACATAGATCTATTTCCCCATCAACATATATAAATATATTTACATATGTACATGCCTATCAATAAAATGATTTTGTTAAAAAATATACTGTAACAGCAAATGTTTTGTTATATATTTTCTTACCACATATACACAAAATCACATTGACAAAGCTCTAATGAACAAACAAATCTGTCTTTGTGGAAGTAGTCAGGATGGTCCTTAAAAGCAATAGCAAGACTTTACCTCACATACTTTGTACACATTATCAGGAGACGAGTCCCTATAAAAGAAAATCACGCTTGGTCAAGGAGAAGGTCAGTGAAAAGGAGGGAGATTCTTCACAAGATGGACAGACACAGCGGCTACTACAATCGGCTCAGACATAGCAAGGATGGAAAGGCTGGGACAGGACTGGGGGCAATTCATTCTGCTGTACACAGGGTGCCCACGAGGCTGAGCTGACCGAAGGCAACAAACCAACAAGGAACCAGTTCTACAAGAAATGTTCCAATTCTGTAAGCCAGTAATTTCACCTCTCCAGAATGTTCTTAAAGGAAATGCATTAAAGTTTGGGGCAACCTAAATATTCATCAAGAGTAGGAAAAATGAATCTTAATCATCTATAACCACAAAGAGACATCTTGTGGAAAATGATAAAATATCGGAAGCTGACTTGCAATACTGAAGAGAGAGAAATATGGTCATGAACAACCTCAAACTTACAAGCTAACGACTGGAGGGATATTTCATTCAATGTCTGTGGTGGTTCTTCTTGTGAGGGGTCATCACGTTGGTTCAGACTCAAACAACCCTATGTGTGATAGAACAAAACCCTGCCTGCTTCTGCGCCAGCCGCTAATGGCTCTTATGTTTGAGCCCATTGTTGCAGCCACGGTGTCCATCCTCTCAGCAAGGGCCACCTCTCTTTTGCTGCCCCTCCACTTTACCAGGTATGATGGCCTTCTCCCGGGACTGGTCTCTCCTGACAACATAGCCAAAGTACATGAGACAATTGTTTTTTTCAAATCACAAAATGAATTTCCTAACGTTGTTGCTGTTGGGTGCCATTGAGTAGGTTCCTAAATTAAGGGCATTTAACAATACAAAGGAGATAGGTGCCTCAATGAAATTTCTAAACCAATGGAAAATAAACAGGGTAATGGCCTTTAGCGACTAATGGTAGCTATAGTTAGCATTTGTGGGATAATTTATAAACTGCCAAACACCAATTAAACTGCACAAACACATACACAATTAAATTTGAAATTAATAAATTTACAATGTAAATTTACAAACCCACATAGAATACATATATCAAAAATGGACAATTTCTCATTAAAATGTTGGGGTTTATAATGCATTCAAAAGAATCATGACAAATCGCTTCTCAGCCTTTTGGCTAAGATCAAGTGTCGTATCAAAATAATCATGCCTAAAGTTAAAGTGTTTATAAAACCAAAACCAAACTCGCTGCTATGGAGTCGATTCTAACTCATGGTGACGTAGGGCATGGTAGCACTGTCCCTGTGCATTTCTCAAACTGACTGTGCAGGAGGAGGACGCCTCGTCTTTCTCCTGAGAAGAGGCTGGTGGTTTCTAACAGCTGACCTTGAGGTTAGCAGTCGAACATGCAATCACTATGCCACCAGTCTGCTCCTAAAATGACCATGTTATCTTGAAATTACACATAACAAATAATGGTAAAATGTTTCTTACTGGGCAAAGTTCTAGAATCAACTTTAACAATTGAAGCATAAGAGGGTAGCATAAAGAATGCACTCACCTTTCAGGTAAACTTGGCAACGTTTAAATGACTTGAGCCAAGAGGTAGTTACAGAAATGACTACTGTAAGAATAGCAAACAGGAAGAAAATTCGGCCACACAGCAAAATGAAATCTTTAATTCCTTATCAAGAAAAAAAGAAATTACAAGTAAGCAATTAATACTCAGAAACACTTTTCTTAGTACTAATAATGAATGATACTAAAAAAGCATGCTAAAATATATTCTATGCATGAAAAAATTATAATTTTTTCCTACAACATTCCTGTGTGATCAAATTCATCATGGTTGTCATTACCAGACAGCTTTTTAAAAATTTCATCCATTTTATTGGCATATAGTTCACTTATCATATAGTTCAGTGATTTAATCATATCAAGATTTGTACAATCATCACCACAATCAGTTTTTAGAATATATACTTCAATCCTGTACTCATCATGATTAGCTCCCATTTCTCCCAACCTCCTCTGCCATATCCCCAAGGAACCATTAATCTATTTACTGTCTCTACAGATTTACCTATTCTGGATTTCATATATAGAAAAACTTTAAAAAATGTTTAAACCCTAAAATCAAAAACAAAGTAAAATATATAAAAACCTTGATCGAAAAGAAAGCAGAAACCATTAAAAACTAGAACAAATTTAAATGGATCATAAGGGAGATCAAATGATAGGGTGCTAAATTGTAACCTAACTGCATCTGCAACATTCCACTTTCCAATGCAGGTTGCAGGTCAGCAAGGCTGTTGACATCCCTGCTCCACCGTCAGAGGGGATTCACCAGGGACGTAATCCACATGTATTTCCCCTTCCCTTTTTAAAATACTGAAACAGCTTTTAAATGGGTCAAAAGGGAGATCAAATGATATTATATTTTGACATAATGATGTCTGCCATAATCGACTTCACAAAGCTGACTGATAACAAGGCTATTAACATCCCTTTAACTCTGATTAGAGTCTTATCCGTGTGTGGAACCTACAAATGGATTTTGGGCTTCCATTGTTATCCATAGCCTTCTACAAACCAGGTGTTCACAATTTAAGCTCTGATACCATTCCCTGCTTTAGATTTGGATTACCAGTATATTATTTACAATCCTTGGATCACACAGGCTGGTGTATTCTTCCATGTGGCTTTAGTTGATGCCTCACTTAGATGGCTGCTTGTTTGAAGAAAAGACTGTAAGACCCCAGATGTATTCTTTCATATACCTAGGCACCATCTAGTTTCCTCATCACACTTTGCTATAGCACCCATATCTTCAGTGATCTCTTCATGAGGGTGAGCATCAAGCAAGACCATGCCCTTAAGAACTGATGGTTCTTAGATTGGGGGCAGTGCAAACCCCAAATCCATTCATGTATCTATGGTTTATATATGTTTTTGGGTCACCTTAAAGACATTGTTGTCATTTTGTAAGAGAACAGCCTTGATCATCCCTCTGGGGAATCATTTCCACTGCCATCAAGTTAGTGCTGACTCAGAGCAACCCTTCAAGGCAGGGTAGACTGCCCCTGTGAGCTTACCAGAACAACTTTTCAGAAAATAAAACTTTCACCATGTAAAACATCTTCCATTTGAGGGATGTAGGTATGATTAGAGTGACTGGGCTAAATTAAAAATGTTCTGTCACTAATGACTACATTCTAGTTTCCTTTCTACTCAGAGAAAGGGTTAAAATTGCCCACATAATTAGACATTAAATTGTGTCAGTGTCAACTTTTAAAAATTCCATTTCTACTTTAAAACACACATGGGGGTGGGGGTGGGGTTAAAGGGAGCGGATGTCAAGGAGTTCAAGAAGGAAAAGAATGATTTGAAGCTGATTTGGGTAGCAATTGTACAATACTGCTTGATTTGATTGAACTTTAGAATTTTATGCTATCTTTATTAACTCCCAATAAAATGTTTTTTTTTCCATGGAAGCACAGATTTGTATTTTTCACAGTTAAAACTGTTTAATACCATACTTCTCTATTTCTCGGTATTTAGACATTTGTAAATGAAATTATTATTTATGTGGTTGCCTTAAAAAACTAAAAGAAATCATCATTTGCTCTTATATCATTCTCTTAAGAAAACAGATCATTTTAAATCAGTAAAAATGTAGAGTATCTACTTTGTGCAATACAAGGGGTTTTCAAAAAGTTTTTGGAAAAAGTAAATTTACAGTTAATGGAATTTCCCCACAAACATTTTGAAGGCCCATTGTAGAATTTGCTAAATGGCGAGAAGATACAATGTTGAGGAGATGGTTTAAGTGTTTAATTTTCTCTTTAATTTTAAAGACTTCCCTGTGTGTGTGTGGGGGGGGGGCTATTGTTGTTCAACCACCAACCTTTACTATCCTGTTTCCCCGAAAGTAAGACATCCCCCGAAAATAAGACCTACCTACAGTTTTGCCTCTCGCTGAAATATAAGGCATCCCCCTGAAAATAAGGGTTTGGATTGTTATGATGATGTTCCAGAAGATGGTGACATGACTGTCATTGAATAAATGAGTTAATATACCATAGATTGTTGTACATGGAAATAATGGTAGTAACAAGAAATTCTTGGTACTGTAGGATTCACAGTTTGTCTGGTTATGCTGGTTTGTGATGACTACTACCGTACCGTATACAGGTAATAAATTTCCTTTTTTGTTGTTCAGCAATAATTGTGTACCGTATTCTTCTTCATGGAAAAATAAGACATCCCCTGAAAATAAGACCTAGCGCATCTTTGGGAGCAAAAATTAATATAAGACACTGTCTTATTTCTGGGAAAACAGGGTATGTTAGCAGCAAAGTACTAAATCACGGCACCACTAAGGCTCCTTTCTTCTTGACAAGGACTATTACTGCAAAGTAGGAGGTGCTAGCTAGGGGTGGGAATTGGGCAGTGAAAGTGAAGAATGGTGACTGTGGGAACAGCTGACTGGAGGAGCTCTGGTAGCAAGCGTGGTGGGTTAGGCGTCAGACTGCTAACCACAAAGTCAGTGATTTGAAGCCACCAATTACTCCTCAGGAGAAAGACAAAGGTTTTTACTCCTGTAAAGCATTAGTCTCAGAAACCCACAGGGACAGTCCCATCCTGTGCGAGTACAGGCTTATTGTAAGTTGGAATTGACTGGATAGTAGTGAGTTGCTTACTGAGTTGATTATCTTACATTGATAAAGGTCTTGTTAGATTCTAATATAAGAGAGTGAGTAGGTGGTTTCTGGCGGGTCTTTTGTAAAATAAATAAATAAAGCACTTTGATTTCTAATGTAAAACATTTGGGGGCTCCTGGCTCTTCCAAGATGAGAACAGAGGGGAAATAAAATGAGGAAATATACAAAGCTAAGCTTCATCATGGTTTCTAACCCTAGGTGTTTTTTTTTTAATGAGACAAGTCCTCTGATCACTAAACGTCCCAAAACAACTGCCTAATTCTCTACATCCCCGCATTACTCAGTTTTCCCCTTTTGATGGTATTACCTACTAGATGGCGTTATTCAACCCCACTAGGGAGTCATCCTTGAGTCTGAAAATAAGTCCTATTGATTCTGCTTCAGAAAGATAAATTCCAAAATGTGCCTATCTTTCCTTCCTGCCACCATCCTGGGCGGTGCAGTTCATGTGTTTGGCTTCTAATCGAAAGGCTGGAGATTCATGTTCACCAGAAATGAGTCTTGGGAACTCTATGAAGCATTTCTACCCTGTCCTTTGGGGTTACTGTAGTCAGAATGGCCTTGAGTAGATTAAACCAGATAATAAGTTATGAATAAACGGTGAATCAGCACTATGTGACTTTTTACAGGGCTCAATAAATGGAGTCTTGCTTCACTACCCTTTGCTCTCTGACTCAAGCCCAGGGCCTTCATCTGTTTCCTCCAAAACCAGTTGCCATGGCAACTCATAATGACGCTCGAACACGTCACAAGTCCTTCTGCGTAGAACAGTGTTCCCCCGGCTTTTCACAGGGGTGGTTCCTTTTACTAGTCAAATCTCAGAATCGTTCATTTTAATTCCTCAGGAAGTTTTCCAAGGGCCACCTTAAATTCGGCTCCTATATTTTAAAAACAATCAAATTATCCTGCTAATTTCCTGTAGGGCGCTCATTAGATCTGAAAGTGTCCTGTCTATATTTGTACCTGGGCTTTTTACCTCGTACCTCCACGACAGAGAAACTCACACCAAGTCCTTAAAGGAGTAATTGGCCTGGTATGGGCATCGGACTAGGAATACCGCCTGGACAGAGGAAAGGCTCCCCGACAGCCCACGCGGCGCCTCCGACCCCGCCCCCACCCGCAGGGCAGGCGCCGGAAGAGGGTGGCCGTTTGGGCGCAATGCAGCGTGGGAGTCGTAGTCCACGCTCCGCAGGCAAAGCAGCCTGCTTGGCCGTAATTCTCCGCAACTTCTAGGGCTAAGTTGCCCTCGTGTGAAAGCCGAAGAGGGGCAAGGCAGCACTCACCGAGATCCGGAATCCCTCGCCGGAGCTCCAGACACAAGATGGGAATTGAAGAGAGGAGGAAAATGCCAACGACCCCTCGAGAAGCCATCGCCGCGAGGCGCCGGCTTCCGGACGCGAAGCCCGCCGCTGTAGCCGGCCGGCCCCCGGAGGGCGGGGCGGAGATTCTCCTAAGGGAGAGGTTGGGAAAGAGGTAGACTTTAACGTTGGGCTGTGGTGGGGCGGAGATGAGCCTCTGTTTCACTCGGAGTCGGACATCGCTTTTCGGCAGAAACGGAAGTCACCGTGTCTGGTCACATGATGGCCAAAGAGAGCCAGGCCTCACCAACCTGCCGCCTCAAGTTTCGTGGGGCAGCACCACCTGGACAGCGGCGGCCCCCAGCTGCGGGCAGCGCCTGCCCTGTTGGCGGCCGAATGCTGCGAAGGTTACTCGGAAAAAAGATGAGGAGGCAGCCTGGCCTTGTGGCCGAAAGGATCACGTGATTGTGGGGCCGAGCTGCTAAGCACTTGCTCCCTTGGGCTTTCCTCAGACTTAATTCTTGCGGGAAGACAGCTCAAAAGTGGGGACTGGTGTCAAATATCTGCCCCAACACATACCCGAAAGCCAGATCCATTTCCCCTTGTCAGTTCGGGCAACACATTGTTTTGTTAATGACCTAACCTTGACCTCATACTTCTGTGACCTCATGGCACGCTGTAACCCACCTCCCTGTGCCTTCTGCCCACTGCCAAGCCAGCTAAGCTAATGGAGGTCCTTAAAACCTACAATATTTCATCATTTGAAACTCCTTTTTCTGACCCAACTACCAATCCAATTTAGTTCTGTCAATGAGCACCATAATTCGTCCTGTGCAATGGGACTCGTAGAAATTCAAATAGAGGTGGCAAAACGGAGGGTAAAGGGAGAGTGGGTAGGAAAGAGGGAACCGATTACAAGGAACTATATGTGACCTCCTCCCTGGGGGACAGACAACCGAAAAGTGGGTGAAGGGCGACGTCGGACAGGGCAAGATATGACAAAATAACAATTTATAAACTATCCAGGGCTCATGAGGGAGGGGGGAGCAGGGAGGGAGGGGGAAAATGAGGATCTAATGCCGGGGGGTTTAAGTGGAGAGAAAATGTTTTGAGAATGATGAGGGCAAAGAATGTATAAATGCGCTTTACACAATTGATGTGTGTATGGATTGTGATGAGAGTTGTACGAGCCCCTAATAAAATGATATAAAATAAAATGAATCTTATCTAAGAAAAAAAAATTCAAATAGAGGAACGTTGGTGAATTTGTCCTCAAGAAAAATCTGTTCAGGAGGACAGATTAAACAGACAAATACAATGTGGTGCCCGAGTGCTATCATAGGGTTATGAGAGTGTTTGCAAACCTATCCAGAGGTCTGGGAAAGTTCTCCTGAAGGACTTCATGCTAAATTTTGTCACAAACTCTAGGAATGTATGGGGTCAGGGATTTGAGGGGATGGAGGTGAAGAGCAAAATGAGAAGAAAAGGCTGAGATTTCAAGTTTAGAAATCTAAATAAATTGTTGCTGTAGTTTAAACATAAGTGAAAGTATATAATGGTGTGGAACTAGGGCCATTGAAAGCTTTGGTTTGCATTGTACCTGAGAACTTTACCCTGGAAGTGAAGGTACAAACTATGAGGGCATAACCTCAAGACCAACAAGAGGAAGATGATAAAAATGATAATATTGTATATAAGTTACACTTATATATCAAATAAGGACTTTAGCAAACTACACAAACTCAAGAGTTCCCACTATGTGTCGAGGGCCAAGCATGCACCCTGGAAAGTAAGGAAGTTCTGTTGTCCTTACCACCTTCATTTGGTACGATTTCCCCTTTAGGTATTTTTCTCTTTTCCAGACTTTCTAGTTAACCTGAACTTAATGACCTATGTTTTAAAACTGGTAAAACAAATATAAAAATGGTCAATAAAACCACATTAAGTGTACAGTACATTTAGATTTATTATAAAGGCACAAAGGCCCTCTGAGACTGCAGATACAACCAACCCTGGGTTAAAAATATTGAGAGAAGGGAAAAAACAGCAACCAAGTGGTTAAAACAAAATAACAATCTATAATCTATCAAGGGGCCACCAGGGTGGGGGTAGGAGGAGGGAGCGAAAAAATCTGATCTCAAGGGCTCAATAGAAAGTAAATGTCTAGAAAAGAATGATGGCAATATATGTACAAACATGTCTGATACAATTGATGTATGGATTGTAACAGGTGTAAGAGCCCGCAATAAAATGATCTTTGAAAAAAAATGGTTAAAACAATCCTACCAAGGCTAAGAGGAGCAATAAATGGTATTTACATAGTATTTATATTAACTACGATAAGTAGAGATGATTTACAGTATATGGAAGGATATTCATAGGTTATATGCAAATATTACTCCCCATTTTATAGGGATTTGCAGTGCCATGAATTATTTAATATGGTTCTAGCCATAGCCTTTGTTACTCCAACCAAAGGACCTTAGTTCTTCTGATTGGTCTGGGTAAGAAGGTGGGGAATATGCTGAATGGATTATATGATTCAGCTGTGACTAAATACTTGAAGTTGCACCCCTTATCGGACAGAACACCCACAACCAGGGCTATGGCTGCACCCCCACCCCCCAAAACAATTGTTAAATATCCCAGTCAAGAGCCCAGAAGGGAGAGCTTTTGATGCAACGGAGCAGACGCTCACTCCTTCCCTCGCTCTTGCCTGTTTTTTCTTAACTTACTATTGTGTGAATGCCCATTGGAATAAATTGATTTAAAGACTGCTTGGTTCATAGTGTTATGCTCGTGAAAGACCCTGGCCTAGTCACTGCACCAAGCACAAAGACTGAAAGTTCGTTGCCCTGGTGCATAAGCCGACTGATCCCTAAGCCACACAGTAGGATAGACAACAAGCCAACTCATTCCTACGCTTTGTCTTTAGGGCTGTCAAAAGTGCTCCAGACACCAACTCAGAAGCGGGAATAGGGGATTTCACTATCAGCAAGAAGTCCTTCTCCAGGGACTGGTCTCTCCTGACAGTATTTCCAAAGTCTGTAAGATGAAGTCTTGCCATCTTGGCCTCTCACAAGCACTCTGGCCTCACCTCTTCCAACACAGATCGGTTTGTCCTTTTAGCAGGCCACGGTACTTTCAAGACTTCAATATTCCTCAACAAGATGGATGACACGGTGGCCGCATCAATGGGCTCGGGCACAGGAACAATTGTAAGGCTAGCACAGGAGTGTGCAGTATTTCGATCTGTTGTGCATAGGGTCGGAGCACCCATAGCACCTCAGAACAACAAAGAAGAGCTGGGAGTGGACTCCAAGATCCCTACACATAGAACATCCGTTATCCAGGAGACACTTTTGACACCAAAGGATTGACAGAGCAGTAGCAGCAGAAACAAGAAACAGAGCCTGGGACAGAGCAGTGGACTTCCCAGCCTACAGGACATTAAGCTGAGTACTTTGGGGAAGGAAGCTGGCTTTTGGAGTGGGGTCCACTGGGCACTTAAATGGAGGAGCTGGGTTTACTGACCCATGGAGCTGGAACTGAGTTCTTTCCAGTTAAGGCTTATAGCAGAGTGGCATGCCCTTTAGGCATTTATTAGCAGCCCCAAGAGAGCTTTTTAGCATTTCCCAAGCAGGACAGAAGCTGTGCCAAGACACTGAAGGCCAGAGAAGAAACTAACCTGACCGAACAACTGCATCCTGAGCATTTCTCACCTGAATTATAACCTGTTAACTTCCCTAATCAAGTCCAAACTAAAGGGTCCAATGGGGAGACTGTTGGCAGTTTCCAGCCAGCGTTAGTCCTCCCCTATTTGTTTACAAACAAATCCATGTTCCCTAGCTCAGCCACAAAGCAAAAACGATGTCACCACAGCCTGCAGATGTGAGTGTCTGCCCAGGGGCACAGAAGGATCTCGTCAGAAAGATGCACGGAACTCGCCTAAAAGAGTTATAGACATCACAAGGTCTTAAAAACCCAAGGTGAATCTTTGTTCTCTCTCTTATGCCTAATTCCTTACTCCACTTCTATGTGCCAGCTCCTTCTTAAAGTTGCTCTCTGCCATAAAACAACAGGCAGTGACTGCAGTCAGGGAAAACTCATTCACTTTCTTCACCAAACTCTATTGTAGCTTGCTAGTGAGTGTGTATTAAAACCTGTTTATCCTTTTTCTGTGCAACTGAGGTTCTTAGAGCCTCTGCACCTTATAGCTAGGTGTCTTTGTTTTACTTGACTCCAACCTCCCTTGACCACCTTAATCCCTTTTTTCTCATTCCCTTTTATTTCTGTAACTCCCACTATCCCTAAATAAAACTTATTAATACTCATGTTTTACCTTTCATATCTCATCCTTGTCTCTTAAACCTTACACAAACCCCATAACCAAGAGCATCAGCTGTGAGCTCTGGTGGCCATTGTCATGAATGATTGAACCCAGCCACAGAAGCAGAGTGCTGAGGGAGGGACACTTGGTGTCAATAGAAATAGAGGATAGAAGCAGTGATTTAACGGTGGGGGGGAGCGGGGGAGAGAAAGCTCTCTACAATTGATGGTGGTAATGACTACACAACTCTTCTTGATATGACTGAACTATGGAATTGCTTGATACGTGGATTAAGTACCCCAATAAGACAACAACAAACCAGGATAGAAGGTGGAGATATGTTGACCTCCACCTGTGGCAACTGGCTTTGGATGTTTAGAAGGTCGAATATGGTCCCCAGGCCAGTTTTTCTCAGGTTTCAGCATATTCAGATATGAGATGGCAAGAGTCTGGAAGCAAACCCCATGCATACCACTGAATTCAGTGTTGTACAATCCAACAGAAGCTCCTTAACCATTAAACAATACCTTCCCATTCATTGCTCTGCCCACTAGTTCCTGGTAGCTGCTACTCTGTTCCTATGCAGCTGCCTATTTAAGTGGGATCATACAGAAGGACTTCAAAAAGTTTGAGATAATTCCATTATCTTTTCATTTTTCTTTTTAATTATTTTATTGGGGGCTTGTACAATTCTTATCACAATCCATATACATCCATTGTGTCAAGCACATATGTACATTTGTTGCCCTCATCATTCTCAAAACATTTGCCTTCTACTTTAGCCCTTAATATCAGCTGCTCATTTTCCCCCTTATCTTTTCATTTTTCATAAACTTACACACACACACACACACAAACTTTTGAAGTCCCCTTATATTTTTCAGCCTGGTTTCTTTTTCTTGGCATATTTTCAAAGGTTCATCCTATGTGGTAGCACATATCAGAACTTCACGTCTCTCTGAA